CTTAGCATCATCCAAGCACAAGCGATATATGAGACAATACTTCAGAGGAACTTGCGTGGCTTACTTCTCTCTCTCAGCTGGGTTAGAAGCTGGGTTGGCTGACTGGCTTAACCCACGAGAATGGCTGACTGGAAGACGTGTAACGATGCACACAGCATGAAGGAGCAGGTGGATGACAAGAGACAGGCTGGATGATAGGCTGACTGGCATTCACTTCCACAGTCTGGCTTACTGACTGGCTTAATTGCAAAATCCGGGTCAACCCCTCGGAGATTGAAGCAATTAGCACACAAACTAAGCCAGGAAGCTTGAAAAACGGCTGTAACAGGCATGCAGGCTGGAGTACACAGGGTGGTGGTGAGTGAGGGTAAGCGGCTAGCTACGGTTCACCTTTGACCTGCCGGCTCCCCACAGTCTTCTAACATCTTGAAATACCCTTAAATCCACGCTCCCACCGCTGCCACCATTTGTCATGTGGGTTTCGAAAACGTGGATAGGGTAAAAATACTCACGTAGGCTGGTAGTACGTATAATATAACTGGAAGGTGTGTGAAGGCGCCAACCGCCGTCCTGCCTCTCTGCTCTCTATCGTAAGACTAACTGACCCACAGTGCCTATGTGAGGGGGTGTTTGAAATCCTGCTATGGTCAGCAGCAATATGAATACAGTCAGTGATTCACGCAGAGACGGTTGGTAGTGAGTCATCTACTGGTACACTGGTTACTGGTAACTGGTTACTAGGAACTGGAACTACTACTGAGACAAGGACCTTCAACTGTTCCCAGAAATTTAGGTGCCTTATCGTACTTATGTGTGCCGTGAAAGTTCTTTGTACACTCTCCAGGTCTACACTGTCACCAACCTTGAAGGGGGCCATTAGTGTACAGCAGTATTCCAGCCTAGAGAGCACAAGCGATTTGAAGAGAATCATCATGGGCTTGACATCCCTAGTTTTGAAGGTTCTCATTATCCATCCTATCATTTTCCTAGCAGATGAGGTAGATACATTGTTGTGGGCTTTGAAGGCGAGGTCCTCTGACATTATCACTCCCAGGTCCTTCACATTACTTTTCCTCTCTATTGTATAGTTAGAATTTGTCGTAGACACTGATATATTTTTAATTTCCTCAAGTTTCCCATATCTGAGTAGTTGAAATTTCTCCTCATTGAACTTCATATTGTTTTGAGTGGCCCATTTGATGATTTGGTTGATGTCCGCTTGGAGTCTCGCGGTGTCTTCGATGGAGGTCACTGCCATGGTGATCCGGGTGTCATCCGCAAAGGAAGGCACGGAGCTGTAGTGTACATCTCTATCTACATCAGAAATGAGGATGAGGAATAGAATGGGAGCGAGCACTGTGCCTTGCAGAACAGAGATTTTCACTGTAGCCTCCTCAGACTTTACTCTGTTCACTACTACTCTTTGTGTTCTATTTGTCAGGAAATTATAGATTCATCTACCAGCTTTTCCTGGTATTCCTTTAGCACGCATTTTGTGTGCTATTACACCATGGTCACATTTGTCGAAAGCTTTTGCAAAGTCTGTGTATACCACATCTGTATTTTGTTTATCCTCTACAGCATCCAGGACCTTGTCAGTGACCCAGTAGCTGGGACAGGCAGGAGCGACCTGCTCTAAACCCGTGTTGCCCTGGGTTATGTAATTGATGGGTATCTAGGTGGTTGGCGATCTTGCTTCTTAGAACCCTCTCAAAGATTTTAATGATATGGGATGTTAGTGCGGATATATTTTAAATACGTCTTGTAGGACTATAGTTTCTTACACATTGGCACTGCCTAATTTATCCCTCAGGATTTCATCCACCATTGCTGAATATCGAGGTACCTATTTACTGCTAGGTGAGCAGGGCACTTGATGGTCGTTGATGAAGCAAGTGGTTACAATCTCAAGATTTCAGATATCTTATCATTACAAATGAACTCGTGTCATTTTGCCTGCCTGCTTTTTTTTTTTACTCTTCCTACAAGGGTTTCGTATATAACTTGAGAACACCTCATCCAATCAGCTCATAATTTGCAACGCTGGTATACTGTCACTAGAGGAGGAGTCGTGCAATATTGACACTTGCAGGCATCCCCTGATAAATAGTATATAGAACAATCCTGATTTTGGTTCCCACGCACTTCATGTTGTGAGAACGATGACATACTGTAAGTTTAGGTTTTGTAGGTATAAATTTACCACTATTAGCACAGTCAAAGAAATCTGAAATCTAATTCTCTGCGACAGTTGGAAAATTTTGGATTTTTCTAAATTCAGCATGTGTAATCTTGAATAATACAATAATTGTGTAATAAAATATGATGCTGATTTGACCCTTTCGAGAAATTTCGAGTGAGGGGGGTGTAGAACAGCTGCTGAATGATGCTGGGGGGGAGGGAGAAGCCGTTTGTAATTTGTGGCCACTGGTTGTCATGGAAAATTCAGCTAATAATCCAGTGTCTTCTTGGCCAAATTGTTTTTTTTTTCGTCCTAAATTTGTAATAGGAGCCCGTGTTAATGTTCCCTGAAGAATTGGGACAGGAAATTTGCGGGACCTCAAGAATTACGTGTGGATGGCAGAAAATAAGGGATATGACCATCATTCACAGGGAAGTGTGCCATTAGTTCTTTCATTTAGATCTCTAACTGGCCAGTGTAGGGTCTAGGTGTCAGGCAGGTGGTGGTGTGATCCATCTATAGTAATTAAATGGTAAGTGGTAATACGAATTTCTTTTGTGTACTCAGGAAGCCTAATCATATACAGTTCACAACTTTAATTTACCAGAGTAGCTGGTGTTAATATTGTAATTATTAATTTAATGTTAGGTTTAGCTTTTTCTGTAAGAGTGGTAAAGAAGTGGGCATCGAGGGAGTTACAGTTCGGCTACCTACTGTGACTTAAGTCCAGGTAAACTCCAGGTAAACTTATCTCACTCAGATTACTTTCACGTAATAATTCAGGTAATACCCTGTAAACCTTATGCAGGTAATTTGCTCATATAATAATAATAATAATAATAATAATAATAATAATAATAATAATAATAATAATAATAATAATTAAAATAACCTAAGATTCTAGGGTGTTGCCCTTCTTTCCACACATTGTATATCATGTGATTAAGATCTCCATACAAGCTGAAATGCTAAATGCACTTATAGACTAGAAATAGTCTAACAGTAAGATCTTGTAGTCTATTGATCTCATTATATAAACAAAGAAAGCCTAGGGGTTATGCTTCATACATTTTATTATTACCACTGCCTATAATAATAATAATAATACATACATACATACATACCGTGTATAAATTTAAACCAACAGCCTGTAAAAAAATTGGTAAATTTTAACACCCATTTCGCAAGTTATAAGAAATTTGTCCAAAATTGTGTTCCGTCAGAGACTCTTGGATGTCAGTCACTATTGCCGGACTCGGGCTGGGCCGGAGGATGCTCACCACTGAACGAGTCATAATCTGATAAGACACGTATAATGATAATAACATATGATACAACTTACACAGACCTAGCTGACATCAATTAAGCAGAGCATTTAGGGCAAATTAGGTTAATTTTGTCCCCAGGATACGACCTACACCAGTCCCAGATAGGTGAACAGGGACAGCAGGTGTCTTAAGGAAACACGCCCCCAGTGTTTCCACTCGTACCGGGGATGGAGAAACGGATCAGGAGTATAAGTAAGTTTATTCAGGTATATACAACTACAGTTACATAGATTATCATACATAGCAGCATGTGTGTAGAGAACCTAGGATAGCCCAAAAAAGTCAGACAGTGACTTATTTTCATTGGGGTCCTAAGTTTATTATTTAGGCCTCATACATAATTTTGAAAATCTCACAAATATTTTTTTAGTAAATTATGTGTAATTTAACTTAGGATAGCCCAGTAAAGTCAAAGAATGTGACTATTTCTATAGTTCTGTCTCCTGACGATTAGAGATTTTTTTAGAGATTTTGCCACCAAAGTGGCTAGTTTATTGTGCACCCCATATCCATCCTGTGGACGGTAGCGCGAGAGCATATGGATACACAAAAGGCCTAGGAACTAGGCCCCAAAGGGTTAACAGGAATACATATGGATTTATATCTACATATCTATAGTTCACTTATCTGTTACAAGCAAATTTAGGAAATTTGCTTAGTATATCTGGTATCTTATTTTCATTAATAAGATATCTTGACATGTCACATAGGTTATTATACTGTCTGTCTCTGTATTCCTCAATAAGTGGACAATTAAGCACATAGTGTTCAAGAGAGTGACCATATGCCTGATCACATAATTTACATTTAGTTTGATCATCATCTGTGTGTCTCCCAAACTGCCAGAAGTACTTGTAACCAAGCCTAAGCCTGGCCACTACAACATCAGTCAGTCTGTTCACATTGCAAGTTGCTCCATAAACATACTTATCTACGTTCATGTTATCATAGTGGGTTATAGATCTACTCAGGCTTCTAACTGCATTCCTATAACAATCATTTTCATTATTTACTTCTCTCCTAATATTATTCCTAATGCTAGACACAGTTATACCAAAGTTATATTCTACATTCTCCTTCTCGATACTCTTCTTGGCTAACATATCAACTTTATCATGAAGGAGTAATCCAATGTGTGATGGGATCCATAGCAATTGTACATTAATTCCTTTGTCCCTAATTTTTGAGTATCTATACCTGGCTTCCCCAATGAGCATGTTGTTGGAGTCATTATATGACGAGTGAACCACTACTTTGTATTTTAAAGAGTCGTTTAGACTGAAACTCAAAAGTACATTATATAATGGAAGTTACCCACGTACAGGCTGGGGTCAAGGACAGTAATGCCAAATGAGGTGTTGCTAGGCACTGGGAAAGTGTGGATAAATAAAGAACTTCCACCATCATCTTCAGTGAGGTACCTTTAGCCAAGAGCTATGCTGTATCCCCTCACTTACCCATCTAGTTTTAAATCAAGCCCAAATGTAGTGATGCCGCCTTGCGGTATGGCACTGTTGCATGTGGTGGGCATGATGGAGTGTGTGTTGGGGTGGGGGTAGAGGGAGGCTGCAGGCAGTAACAGTACAAAGCCTCAGTGTGTGAAAAGCTTCCCTACGCCCACCGTCACCGCTCGTCTCCCCTCAACCTCAGGTCAGTATTTCCAACACTACACTACTCCAGCAATATTCCCAGATACCTGTCTTAATATATCTCGTTATTATGCCCAGTGATAGAAGTGTGACATCAGAACCTCGTTTTAAGGCTTATTTGCTACCCCTTTCTCCTACCCTACCTTAGTCTCTGGGACTTACTTCACAGCGAGTCTCCGTCAGTATGTTCTTGTTTTATTCTCCACTCTTGTATCGAGCGGAGCAAAAGTTGAGAATTAACAAGGAATGAAATTGGTTAATGGGGTTTAAAGCCTCTCGACTATACGAGGGTCACTGAGGCTACGTCATTTATTCACCACAAGCCAAGAATACTGTTATCCTTAATAGCTCCTGGAAATAACTCAGTTTACCTTATTCCTAGTATATCTCCTTATTACTGTTAAAATAATAAGGTATTACAAGGACCCCAATGGAAATGTCACTTTGACTTTCTTGGGTTATCCTAGGTAATCTACACACATGCTGCTATGTATGAAAATTTATGTAACTTTATTTATGTGTACATGTACCCGAATAAACTTACTAAAATAGTGATTAAAGTCAATTCAGTGCGTATATGCTGCGACATACACATACAGGTTTATATATTCTCTTACGTGAGTAAAGTATTTTGCTTTTTGGGATTATCCTAGTTTAAAATATTTATACGTTATCAATACAGTATGTCTGTAACAATTAGATGTATTTCTGACGGTGCTCGTTCCAAGGCATCCCCTTCATTGCATAATCCTGGTCCTCTGTGCCTCAGTGCTCGCTATTGTAATAGCGCAGAGTGTGGCATAAGTTTGTTATGTAGTTAAATATTGGTACTGAAGATTTGAAGCGAATCAGAGGAGGTATACTCAAGTCATCATATGGATATTAATATCCCAGTTCCTTCGATAAAAATGGCATATTAGGACATACACAGCCCAACTCTAATTCAAACCTTCAATTAACACCAATATTTGTCAGGAAACAGGACAGGTATTTCCTGACACGGGTCTTAGTCATATGATGACCCGCAGCTGGAGCTTTTGGTCATCTGACCGAGGCCTTCCGCTGGCTTACCGGTCCATCTCTTTAAAAATAATGGTTATGATTATAACCATTACAAGTACTTATATTCTCAACTGAAGAGCCATTCTCGCCATTTTTTTATATATATTTTTAGTTTTTTCATATATATTATTTTTCAAATTTTCTGCAGTCCTACACGAAAAGATATTTAGATTTTTATTTTGTAAGACAGTCCAATTTGACAAAGTTGCTTACAGATTATTAAATTAGCAACCATACCAATTACAGAATTCTTCTAATTAAGATATACTAACATTTAGGGTTTGAAGCCGATCAGAAGCATCATTTAGTTATTACGTGGGAGGCAAATTGTGATGAATGGTTTGAAAAACCGACAAGTTGAAGATTGAGACACTTATGCAGCATATGGAAATCTTTATTCAGGAAACGTTTCGCCACACAGTGGCTTCATCAGTCCAATACAAAGAGGAAGGCGTAAGGAGAGGAGGAGTATGAGGTAATCAGTCCCTCAGCCTGGAGTCGATGTGTTCAGTCCATCAATCTTGTAGAATTTACAGCATAGGGCCGTAGACGTGGCTTATATACTGTAGTGAGGTGACTTGAAGCAGACGGAGGCGGGATCATAGTGGTACCATCCACTAGTCGAAGTAGGTCTTTGTCCAAAGGTTGGACAAGTGTTGAAGAATTCTTTGTAAGAAGATCCCATGATGCTGCAGTGTCTGACAGTTGTGATGAATGGTTTGAAAAACCGACAAGTAGAAGATTGAGACACTTATGCAGCAAATTGAAATTTAAGCAGCTCAAAATGAGCACTAAGCTGTTTTTTTTTTTTTTTTTTTTAATAAGGCCCATTGGGTACACTGCAAATTTCCAAGCGGGCGTTAACCAAGTCTTCAAATTGGCCTCAGAAAGCATTATGAAGTTCATTAAAGACAAATTTCAATTACACCGCTATGAAAATTCGAGGAAATAAAAACTGGATTGGAGTATAAAGCAAATCCCAATCACACAATAGAGAGAAAATCTAATGTGAATGACCTGGGATTGTCAGAGAATCTCACTTTCCAAGATCACAACAATGTCTCTACCTTAGCTAGGAGAAATGGCAGGATGAATATTGAGAACCTTCAAAACTAGGGATGCCAAGCCAATGATTCAGATCTCTTGTTCTCTCTAGACCGGAATATTGCTGTGACGAATGATTTTGAAAACCGACAAGTTGAATTGAGACACTTATGCAACATATGGGAATCTTTAATGAAGAAATGTTTCGCCACACAGTGGCTTCATCAGTCCAATACAAAGCAGAAAGGTGTAAGGAGAGGAGGAGTTTGAAGTAATCAGTCCCTCAGCCTGGAGTCGATGTGTTCAGTCCATCAGTCTTGTAGAATGTGCAGCATAGGGCCGTAGACGTGGCTTATGTACTGTAGTCAGGTGAGGCGAAGCAGGAGGAGGCGGGGTCATATTTTACACACAAAATGATTAAACTTGCACCTACACACCTGAATTTCACTCTCCGTCGTCACGGAATTAGGAGGTTAGGTTAGGTAATGTTCGTCAGGAAACAGGACAAGTGTTTCTTGACGCTGCTCTTAGATGATGAATCGCCGTTGGAGCTTTTGGTTTTCTGACCGAGGCCTTCCGCTGGCTTTCCGGTTTACCCCTTTAATTAAAAAATATAGTCAGTAATAACGATGCTATAGTAGTAATTAGGAGGTACCTTTCTTGAACATGTGAAGCTATGCCACTGAGGATTTTTGAAGTTCTTGTAGATATTGTAAGATGTCGGGAATAGGTTCAACTACTATGGTCATAGAGCATGTACAGATGCCAGTTACTCCAAGAATTTGGCCCTAGTTACCCTCTACAAGCGTTGAAAAATTGAAGCCGATCCGGTGAATCTTAGGTTAGGTTAGGTCAGGTTTCTCAGGAAACAGGACAAATTCCAACGAGTCTTGAGTTATGAGCGAAAGAAAAACGAGTAGTTTAAATGCTGAAAATAAAAAGAACAAGGAAAAATTCTGACAACCACTAAGTCCACCTTCGGGGATACCTACCTGGAGTCTACCTGGAGGGCATTACGGGGATCAACGCCCCCGCGGCCCGGTCCACGACCTGGCCTCCCGGTGGATCAGGACCTGATCAACGAGGCTGTTACTGCTGGCCGCACGCAATCCAACGTATGAACCACAGCCCGGCTGATCCGGCACCGTCTTTAGGTATCTGTCCAGCTCCCTCTTGAAGACAACCAGGGCTTTTCCCGTAAGATAAGATAAGATAAGATAAGATTTCGTTCGGATTTTTAACCCCGGAGGGTTAGCCACCCAGGATAACCCAAGAAAGTCAGTGCGTCATCGAGGACTGTCTAACTTATTTCCATTGGGGTCCTTAATCTTGTCCCCCAGGATGCGACCCACACCAGTCGACTAACACCCAGGTACCTATTTGCTGCTAGGTGAACAGGACAATAGGTGTAAGGAAACGTGTCAGAATTTCCACCCGTAATGCCCTTATTGCTGGTAGAAGGCTGTTGAACAGTCTTGGGCCCCGGACACTTATTGTTTTCTCTTAGTGTACCAGTGACGCCCCTACTTTTCACTGGGGGTATGTTGCATCGCCTGCCAAGTCTTTTGCTTTCGTATGGAGTGATTGCTGTGTGCTTATTAGGGACCAGTCCCTCCAGAATCTTCCAGGTGTAGATTATGATATATCTCTCTCGCCTGCGCTCTAGTGAGTACAAGTCAAGTGCTTCCAGGCACTCCCAGTAGTTAAGGTGTTTGATGGAACTTATACGTGCAGTAAAGGTTCTCTGTACATTCTCTAGCTCTGCAATTTCACCTGCCTTGAATGGGGATGTTAATGTACAGCAGTATTCCAGCCTAGAAAGAATAAGTGATTTAAAAAGGATCATCATTGGCATGGCATCTCTTGTCTTGAATGTTCTCAGTATCCATCCTATCAGTTTCCTAGAAGATGTGATAGTGGCATTGTTGTAGTCCTTGAAGGTGAGGTCTTCGGACATTACCACACCCAGGTCCTTCACATTACTTTTCCGCTCTATTGTGTGACTGGAGTTTGTAGTATACTCTGTCCTAGTTATTATTTCCTCCAGTTTTCCATAACGGAGTAGTTGGAATTTGTCTTCATTGAACATCATATTGTTCTCTGTTGCCCATTGGAAAACTTGGTTTATATCTCAATGGATGACACTCTCATGCAGATCCTAGTATCGTCTGCAAAAGATGATACAGTGCCTAATTAATACAAACTGTGCAGAAACCTTTTAAGTATGTGAAACAGTTTTTAAATATAATCCGATTAAAGCTTCCTTTAATATGAACTCTGAAGATGCATTTTAAGATAAATGAAAATAAGAAGGACGCCAATGGTATTTAAGTCCTTTGCGAATTGTATGAATAAACTAAGTTAAGTTATCATAAAATATCAAATTAATTTTAAATTGTAATTTAATGTTTTTCACTAAATACTTAATTTAATTTTTTTTTGTTACAATATTATGTAATTTTGAATATTTAATGCGTGACACATTTATATGCATATGTCCAATATATTTTTATTATGTTTCACCGCTCATAGGATATACCCAGAGAGATGTATTTCTCTCGGTGTATATATATTGAGAGTTTAATCCTGTTTTAAGGAATAAAGTATTTATGTCTGGTGGTGAGGTTACCAAACAGTCCTGGTGATGCTCGTACAGTCGCTAGGCTTTAAATCTCATTAACCAACCAAGCATTACACCGCCCGATGTAACTCCCAAAATCGCATTAGTACTATTAATTACCATTTATTATTATTATTATTATTATTATTATTATTATTATTATTATTATTATTATTATCATTATTATTATTGTTGTTGTTGTATTTAAGGGAAGCATTATGCTCGTGGGGATCACACATTATTATTTATTATTATTATAATCAAGGGGGAAGCGC